TTGTTGTTGTTGTATGCAGTTTCCAGCAAACTTTAATTAATTTTTTTCTATTTGTGAAAATTTCTACGTTATTTAAAGGTAATTTTTATTATAGGCCTATAGACCTAACACAGCATTATTAATATGATTTTGGAGGTTACAAAACTTTAAAATTACTTTAAAAAATGGAAAATAATTATATCATTTGATTTCAAGATATTTTGTATACCTTAAAAATAATTAATTCTATCCCGGGATTTCCCGGGATCCCGGGAAACAGTTCACTTTTATCCCGGGATCCCGGGACAATCAAAATACCGGGAAATGAGAAACCCTAACTCCCATAGACTGATGTATAGAAACAAAATGTATTCAAAGTAGTTTTGAGATCACATTTTACTATCTGAAAATATAAGATCCAGAGACTATTTCATGTCTAATTTTGTATGTTTTCTTTTGTCTTTTCAGAGGGATTAATATTATTATCCTAAAGTTGTAGACTAGTATTGTGTCTCCAATTGCATGACAAAATTCAAAATTTTTCATCTGAAGTAATGACGTTATTCTTAAATGCAAATTGATTAATTAAATTTTAACCCTTGTTTGTTGCATTTTAAATTTCCAACATATTAAAAATAATCTGTAATTTGATAACTCACTGAGTTACTGGCTGATTAAATTTATGAGTTCATCTATATCTATGTCCTTATTTGGAACTAAACATTTAATACTGTAAAAATTTTACTGTGAAGTTTTAATCGCTTATTAACTTTTACTTTGCTGATACTATTTTTGTTCTAAAGTAATAAAATAGTAAACAAGAAAAACTAAAGATTTTGTTGATATATCCCTTTTCTATCACAAAGATTGAGGAGGAGAGCAAAAAGATAAAAATCACAAACTGCAAAAAACTTTGACTTTTTATTCCTTGTTTTTCAAACATCTATAGAGAAGACTTTGGAACTCTTCAATAAATAACAGTATCAGACAGAACAAAAACGTAACATATAAATGTGAGTATCCATCTACTGAAAAGTACATGGCTTGTGAGCGCTAAGATTGGCTTTACTTTACCGCTAGACTTATTACACCACCACAGGACATCAAATTAGATTTAGAAAATTGGTGAAACTAGTAGGGAATTAAAGGTCCGTTTCAATGAACATATCTCTGCCATAGCACACAACAATGATAGCTTGGCTGTAGCCGCCCACTGTAATAATGAAGGCTGTCAGATTGTTAAGGATACTGTCAAAATACTTAAAAAGGAACAAAATACTTATAAAAGAAGATGGTATGAACACTTAGAAATAATATAAAACACAGAGAAAATCATGAACAACAACTCCGGTCAAAAATTACACGAATCGTGGTACGCATATTTGACCAGAGGAGGCGTTGGGGGAGGGGAGAGGATTGAAAACGGACAGGGGTGTGGGTGACGGTTACCCTGGAATGTACTTCAAATCGTCTTGTTACTCTGTTCGTGTTACTGTGAATCTATTTACCATTTTGTTTTAACAATGTATATTTTTACGATTTTACTGTTTTACCAGAACCTCAGTTTATTATTATTATGTTACTGTATCAACATTACCGTTTTTAATGGAAAATCTTGTTTTATCACGTGCTGTCTTTTAATTAATGTTCAACGCATTGAATCCACATGTCAAATGTAAGTCCACATTCTTTGTTCATTTCTGTCAATCACGGCCTTTTTATAAAAATTGTTAACCTCCTATTAATTTTGTAGCAAAAAGCTGATGAGAGACTCCATGTCCAAAATGCATTCTGAAAATAAAATAGTGTTTTTCTAAATCTAATTTGATGTCCTGTGGTGGTGTAATAAGTCTAGTGGTAAAGTAAAGCCAATCTTAGCGCTCACAAGCAGGGGCGCCGCTAGCTGTTTGAACGCCCGTGTGCAATACCAATTATGCCGCCCCCCGTCTAACTACGACTACCTATGCTGAGCGTGCTAGAAAGATTCTTTAGTGTTGTCTCATAAGGGTGTGTAAAAAGAAAAGAAATACTTTACAAAGAAAAACTATTTATTATTACTGTTATTTTTGTTTACTTAAGTGTAAAACCATATAAATATTTATCTACAGAACTCTTCTTGCTTTTATGTTTGCAAAATCTGCTATCAGTTTTCTTGTATCCAAGCTGTCTAAGATTTCGTGTTCAATTGAAACTATAGCTAAATTACTTAGTCTTTGCTGGTGCATTGTTCATCATAAATAGTTTTTTTTTATAATTTTTAACTTTGAAAAGGACCTTTCACCAAATGCAACTGAAACCGGCAATGTAAGTAATATTCTTAGTGCTATTGCTGTGTTCAGAAAAATGTTGAAATTAAGTCATTAGTAAAAAGATATTGTAAGAGGGTTTGTGGATCATTAGACTGGTTTGCTGGAAAATGCGACTTTAAAGTACAGTGGTACCTCAGGTTACGAATGCCCCAGCATACGAAATTTTCAGGATACGACATGAAATTCGAACATATTTTTGCTCCACGATACGAACAAAAACTCACCATACGACGTTACATTAGTTCGCATTTTTCATTTGTTTATCTTACTACAGTTATTTTTTTAAATGTATTACTTGGCTTTAATTTGAGTATGTTTTTCGCGTTGGAACGAATTATTTGGTTTTACATGTAATCGTATGGGAAAAGATGATCCACCTTACGACATTTTCATGATACGATCTCAGTTTCGGAATGGATTAATTTCGTATCCTGAGGTACCACTGTATTGATTTCGTTAAACAAATCAATACCCTCAATGTCTGTTTCACTACTCGAAACGTCTTTAAACTTCAGATTTAATCCTAACCAAGTTAAAATATCATTAATTATACTTAAACCCATGTGAGAAGAATTATTAACAAAATAATTGCAATTTGATATGCGATAGAGCTGTTCGAATGCGAACAAGTGCAAATTGAGAAGGAAGCTCTGTGGGGATTCCCTATTTCTCCAGTCCTGTCAACTTCTGTCATGAGCACGACTATGAGTACTTGGCTTTCGGGCGCCGCCGGATGGTTCTACCTGGCGACAGACGGTTCGCATTGCATCTTAATTCTGATAAATGCCAATAGAGGCGCTGTTAACGCTATAATATAAATAAAAATATAGTACTGTAATTAGGCGCCGGTCGGATTTTTTCTCCATGCAAAGACATTTCTTATGCTATAAGTATGGTGGGTATTATGACAACGACTTTGAATATTATGTGACCGATCGCTCGATTTGCCGCCCCCTGGTCGTGCCGCCCGCGTGCGGTGCACGCCCGCTTACGGCGGGCCTGCTCACAAGCCATTCAGAAGACTAGACAAGAAGTGTATCATAGTATTCATTGAAAAGTACATGTTGAAATGGTTTTTGTAGAGTAAAGAGACAAGAATATTCCTGTTAATGAAAAACTTTATAGAGGAAAAGCTGAACAATTTGTACAACAGCTGGGACACATATTGGATTCAAAACAAGCAACAGGTAGCTGGATAAATTTAAGACATGAAATAGTTTTCAATAAAATCTATAATAAAAGTAAATGCAAAAAGACCATTGTATGATGTGGTTGAAAACTTTACTAGAAATTATACAAACAAAATGGTTTCAAATGCATGATGAACTCAGGATATTTTTCTTCCAAATTATAATTAGAAGTTCAGACTATTTACAAAAAATAAATTTTTGAGTCTATCAATTCTTCCTTTTCACACACCATAGAAGTATTTACAAAAAATTTATTTTTTGTAAATAGTCTGAACTTCTAATTATAATTTGGAAGAAAAATATCCTGAGTTCATCATGCATTTGAAACTATATGCAAATTAAAGATAACTCGTATCCACCACTAGAGGGCTTGAACCTGATACAAAGTGTATAAAACTTGACAGTTTGGTGTGAAGATTTACTTTGATTTTTAATGTTATAGGCTTCAGAACCTATAATGAAAGGCTGACGTCTGATCATTTTTAATAATGTAATTTTTACCTATTGTTAATTGTTTTTAATGAAGTGATTTCTTCAAACAAATGTAAAAGGTGTACTTCTATGGTGTGTGAAAAGGAAGAATTGATAGACTCAAAAATTAATTTTTTGTAAATAGTCTGAACTTCTAATTATAATTTGGAAGAAAAATATCCTGAGTTCATCATGCATTTGAAACTATATGCAAATTAA